GTGAAAGATAAATGCAGAGGGTGGGTTCCTGATGGTGCTAGGAGGGAAACTCTGCTTACCGTAGTCCATCCATTATATGAAAGACTAAAAGAACTTACAAAAGCTGTGTGTATTATCTGGATCTTTTCAGACTATAATGTCCTAACTATGAGAATAGACTGGACTCTAATTTTGTTCAAAGAAAGAGTGAACCCCTCAATTACGTGCTGAAGCACAAGCGAAACAAGCTCTTTTTTGAGAACAGTCCATACCAGAAGCAGAGGATAGAGTATGCATAAAAATATGACAATGAGAGTGAATCGTAATGCAAGATGGCCAACAATTCTGCAGATATGTTGTGAAAGCCAGTTGACAAACATAAAAAGATTCAGAACATGCATTACTGGCCTTACAATAAAACTATAGGATTCCAATTTTAAGCAGTAGGGCGAGGGAACCATTGAATAATGATGAATGTTGGCATGATGAGCAGAAAAGACTGGAAAAATTCTCTTACCGAAGCTAAGGCACTGAAAGATAAAATATGTTTGATGATCAATGAAGGTGCTCTCAGAGACAATTAATTGCCCAAATTACTATTTTATATTTAAACTTACAAGGCGAAACATAGAAATTTTTCATTGATTTGACTGCTACTTTAAAATTCTTTATTAAATAAAATGTCTTCCTCAAAGTAAAAATTCTAATCAAATGATAAGCATTGCCCGTCATACTCAGATATGCTCTGCTTCTTAACCTAAAGCCATATTCTTTAGACTTTTGAATTGAGCAGTATTCTTTTCTTCTTGGTAAAAACACATCTGTGCTACTGAGTGATAAGTACTTTCCAGATGTATTTTTTAAAGGAAAAGTCCAACAGCATCCCTATTTATAATCAGGCCATAGCTCCTTTGGGCAGTGACTTAAAAGCATTCACATGTCTAAAGTGAGCCCATATTAAAGATCTCTACAAAGCAGAGAATTCCTTGTGCACTCAGATTTCTATTGACATTAGCACAACCACTAAAGTTAAACCCTTAACAGTACACATTGATTCATCCATAACATTGTACAATATGCTGTGATACTAAAAATTAAAGAAAGTCTAAAGGAAAGCCTGTGTTTAAGAATCTAGAAGAGTAAGAGCTCATTAGACCTTTCATCTGCAATAATTCTATCCATTCAGTCAAGGGACTGATCTGAAGAGGATACGGACGTGTCAAGCACAAGATCATAATTAAATAATCACTTTATTATTGCTTATGGTCTTGAATGTAAACACTGTCCTACCATCTGTGTTAAATTATAAGTGTAGACCTTTATTCTACCTTTCTAAGTACCATTTGGTTAAATATTCAATAATTATTTTCTTTTCCTGAGAACACTGACAATATATCCGGATTATTGATGCATTATGTTTCAAAATTCTCTATTGAAGATTTAAAGAAGTTTTAGTACCTTTATGTGGATGTCCTATTGCCAGGTTCTAATCGTGGAATGAGCTGCACCTTTTAATTATTTGTATTTACTGAATACTTAAGCTCTGAATGGACTTCACATTTCAAAAAAACAAAGTCTAATTTTTTAAGAGAGAAGGGATTACATACACCATGATATGCCCAAGGATGTTCTCCCCTCACTTTGGAAGAGTTATAATCATTCAGACATTTGTGATCTTTAAGAGACAATTGAGAGGATCTTTGAATTCCACAGCGTCTAGTAGGGAACAGTTTCCCAAATTTTCTGACGTTATACTTTGCACAGCCTAAACCAAAACTGGTGAGCAATTTTCCCTTGGAGACGTAAAAATAAAAACAGAGATTATGTAGTTTAAAATGAAGTTTTCAATGCCTCCCAATTATAGACTACCTTTTTATAATTCATAATCCTCTATTATTAGTAACTGATCTGGAGGGGCACTTAGTTATGACACAATCTCACGAGAGTCATCAGTTCCCATAGAATTTCACTTAAACCAGTGACAAACGTACTCATCTTGCACCTGTATAATAGCAGCTGCATTTAAAACAGTGAAAATCTATACTGCCTTAGGTAGATTCTCTCTAATGTTGTGAAAGTGTTTGGCTCACTGATAATGTACAATATTTTTTCAGAAAGTAACCTTGTACACTACAAAATCTTACTAGTTTCTCTTTACATATTTCCATTTGTAATACTGTAAATTCCACTTGTTTTCTTCTATTACATGAAAACGGAAAAACTCATAACTGCCTACTGTTTTATCTGAAAGAACTGTATTTCTTTCAATAGATGCAATGCACTAAAATATTTATAATAAATATAGATTTAATCTTGCTTGTTGACATTTCATATTTTAAGTTTGATGCTATCAATCACAACATATCTCAACAAATCACATTTCAACCTAGCACATGACTCATCTCCATGGAAAAATCTGTCCAACAGGCAGATTTGATGTTTTTCTGGGACAGATAAGGGGCATGTATATACTCCAAAAGCATGTGTTATATGCTTATCAGTTAGTCTGTGGTTTGGAAATGCTTGAAAGCAAGTATGTTTTATCTTAATCAGAAATACAACCAAGAATTGTTAACAGGAAAACTTTTGAGTTTTCTAAACTTTCCTGTAGAAGTCATTGATATGAAGCCAAAACCCACACAAAAAGACATGCATAAAATGGAGACTAAAGTAAGTTTCTTAAAAATTCATTTTTTTCAAGTAGATAATCCTCACTAAGATCTTAACCTCAATGATAACCTGACAGGCCAAATACTTTAAGTAGTATACAGCTATTCTTGAATCTGGTGTCAAAAAGATATGCTAAGTATAATACTGGAAATTGCATGAAAATAGTCTGACACATTAAGGAAAATGTTGGTACTGGAGAGTCTCAGAAACATTTGACAACACTTAATGGTGGTTTGACTAAGGTTGTTGACATTTTTGATGAGTTATCTCTCCAGTGTCCAGCATAGTTCTAAATAACAGAAAAGAAAAATAGGAAAAAGAGTTTAAATCTTAGAGTTCTTTCAAACATCTCTAAATAATTTTCATACTATTATCTAAAAATAATACCAACAGATTTTTATATACAGCTTTCAATTTTCATACTCTCATAATACATTCAAGGTTTTTTTTTTTCTTGCCCAAGATATATGAGTCTGATGCTGACAAAAATGATTTCATTATTTTCCAAAACGAGGATGCAGAAGTACTTCAGGAGCACAGTGAGATCTAAAATATACCCCAAAGTTCTGACGGGTGTACAAGATGATTGAGTCATTGAGGTGCTTTACTCATTGGATTCGTCCATTGGTGACTTCATTCGCTGATGTGCTATCTCGGGACCGGGCCTGGTTGGACGTGGGCCACTGGGAGTGCGATCTGGAAGTCTTGTCGTGGCTCCTTCCTTCTCTCTTCGCTTCCTGGCTGCAATGTGTGAAGCATCTTTGCATCTACCATGACCTTCCACCGTGCTCTTTCTGCCTTGGAGCAAGCTGATCATGGACTCAAACGAAACCCGAATAAATTTCTCCTCCTTTCAATGGATGTGTTGGGTATTTTGTCCCAGAGATAGAAAAGCAACTAAGACAGACATTGGTACCATAGTGGTAGGTTTACTAATGTCACTTTATCTGACCATGTGGCTTAGAAACCTTTGGAACTATTTAGTAGGAAGAATTTGGAAAATTTTGGAGAGGTGAGCTAGAGAAGTTCTAGAATATTATAAGCCACTCGTGGGGAAATTTGGAATGAAGCTCAGAGGACTAGAATGATTATAGAAATGTGGAGAGTAAGGTCAGGTTCAGGAGGCTTCACGTGGGAACAAAGACTCCATTGTCAGCTGGATAAAGAAGATGTGGTTTTTCTATAAAATGGAATATTACTCAGACATAAAGAATGAGAAAATAGATTCATTCATAGGAAAATGGATACATATTGAAGATATACTCCTAAGTGAAATAAATAAGGCACACATGTGTAAATACCAAATAGTTTCCCTGGTGTGAATAATCTGCAATAATACATAAGATCCTAAAGAGATTACTGACATTTAGAAATGGGAAGAAAGGAGCTAAAGGTGTAGGGAAGGTGGGATGGGTAGGGGAAGGGTAATAAGGGAAAAGAGAAAAATGTGAGATAATGAAAAGATGAAAATAAAGTGTTTGTAGATGGGGAGGGGAGGAGAGGGTGAAGGGAAGGCAGGGGTAAGAGGAAAAATGATAATCAAAACTTGTCATGTAGTGGTACAAGATTCCAACAATGAATGTAACTGTACTGTATCCCTAAAATGTACCAATAAACTCAGTTAAAGCTGAAAAAAAAAAGACTCCATTGTCAGCTGGATTGGAAGCCACTCTAGCAGAAAATTTGTCTATATCTCACCCATACCTACGACTTTGTCTGAGACTGAGATTAAGAAAGGCAGACTAATCTGGGGATGAAATTTCAAACTAATCTAGTGTTTAGATTATGGCATAGGAATCACTGGTTGCCTTTAGGGAGATCAGCAGTGAACATCAGCAAAAAATTAGACAAAAAGCTGAGATTACACATATATATATATTATATTAATATATTATATGTATTAGGTTTCATATATATATTTGGCCCCAATTTTGCAGGTGGTTCTTCCCCATTGAAATTGCAACCTTTCACATCTTTTGGTCCAATATATATATATATATATATATATATTGGACCAAAAGATGTGAAAGGTTGCAATTTCAATGGGGAAGAACCACCTGCAAAATTGGGGCCATGGAAAGCATGGCTGCAAAAGTGATTACTGTTAGCCAAATACTGTGCATCAGGACAATACAATAGATATTTGAAGTCATCTCAGGAATCAGAAACACCCTACCCTACACAGACTCAGGGTGAAAAGTTGTAAAGATTTTAGTTTGAAGGAGAACCCTATGGTGCTTTGGGTAATTCGAGGGTGCAAAGGCAAATGTTCCACTGAGTTCAGCCACTGAGGTACTCAGAGGCCACTGCAGACATGAACCAAGAAAACCTATCTATCGCTCAAGCTGATAGCAGCTTTGGCACCACATATGCTAAACTGGAGTGATATAGAGAAGATTAGATTGGCCCCTGTGCAAGGGTGCCATGAAAACTAATTTTGAGAATTTTAAATATTGGCTTTTTCCCTTTACTTTATGGCTTAAAAGATTCTCCAAAATAAGAAGTTTTGAATGCTGGTATCTGCATTATAGAAAAGAACTAATATCATGGTGACCTTTAGTATTCTTTTGCATGAAATCAGACAGGTCATCTTTTAAAAATAGGGCATTGTAGATCACCAATGGGGAGAATGAAGTCCTTGCATTGTCATTTTAGAAGTTCTGTCTCTCTTCTATTTTAGACACTTCTGATTGTATTAAACTGATCTGAATAATCCAGTGACTATCATCTTTAAATCTGTCTGTAATCTTAACTTCATATCTTTCATGTAACCTCACCTTTTTAGGGGATATGGGGTTAAGAAGTAGTCATCTTGATTCATTGCCCTCAACTCACTGAAAAGTGATGCTGATCCTTATAAATCATTTTCTTATAATATTATTAACTATCTTCTAGCTTGGGCTAATGTATAATCAAAATGTCACTAAGTATTGCTATAAACATACCATAATTTTCTTACATTGTGTTTAACCATTTGTGTGTGTGTGTGTGTGTGTGTGTGTGTGTGTGTGTGTGTGTGTGCTTGCTAAGAAGAAAAGATGTTGAAAGCTAAAGGTCGGGAGTTTGATCCCAGGTGCAAAAAAAAAAAAAAAAAAAAAAGGCATTGAGTATATTTATACGTCCCCAGGTCAAAAATTTCTAAAAGCAAGCAAAAATAACTACTACATGCTTAACTTTTGAAGGCAGTACTAGAAGCAACTGTAGCAGCTAATCCAGACTGACAACTGGCTTAGCAAAACTCCCTTCAAGACCTACTCCTCACTCTTCTCACACACTCGATACTATTAACTCATGGCTGTACCCTACTTCAATGCTTTCCAGCTTTGATACTCCCATCACTTAACCCAGAACATAACACCCTACAAATCCTCTCCTCAGATTTCTAAATGTTATGACATTATTTCTGCTCTCTCCAGGATTTGTGTTTCCTTTACTAAAAAAAGCCTACAATACTAAGTTTTGTTTAATCAACTGATTTTCTTGGTGATTGTTTTGGAGAAGCTAAGAATTGAAAATGGAATAAAGCAAATTGACATAGACAAGATAGTTACTGGAAAATATAAAATATTAGAAGTAAAAGAACAATATTGTGAAATTCAAACTGCTTATCTTGCGTATTTGTGTGAACTATTTTTTCATTGATTAAAATTGAAGGGGGAAATGATTCTGCAATTGCTTAACTCTAAAGCATCATGAGTAGAAACTGGACTAGGAAAAAATAGTAAGAAAAGTAGAGATCTTCAGACTGCTTTTTTTTTTCTACAATTTTTTATGGTCTAGGAATTGGGTAGAAAATTTTTTTCTTTTTGCTTTCTTATTTTGGCTTTCAATTCTGTCCATTTCTCACTGGTAATTTGACAGAATGAAACTTTTTAAAAAAATTCTTTATTTTGTTATTGCAAAGAGTTTAATAGCTCTAAAATTTATATGAAAATTTCTAATAAATATTTAAATATACTGTTACTTAAACATATTGCATTCTTGCCTATAATCATTCAATGGGAATATGAAAAATATCTTCAAATTTATGAGGCATAAACTTCTGGAGCTTAGAACACCACTAGTTTCCTAGTTTGTGTGTAAGTTGTAATCATCTGTTGAATCCACGTATCTCAGTGTTGAAACACCTCCTCCAAAGATGATTTGGATTTTTAATGAGTTGAACTTTACTGATATAATCTATTCCCATATGTCATATGTTGGGAAACAAATATTCTCAGAAATTAAATTTTTACTCAACATTATCAAAATACTAAATGGTAAATGTGAAAGTACAACCTATGATTCTCAAAGTAAGAATCCTAAATATGCTACAAAAATAAAATGAATGCTATAATACATGCCTTGAGACTTATTATTATCAATTACTCTTCTAGGTCATAACTGCAGTACCAATGTAACTTATTAAATGGAAAATATTCTGATTCTCAAACACTAGACGTCAGCAAAGAATGCCCTTTATGCTACATACATTATGCTACTTTGCATGGAGTGTAAGGAAAGACTTGATTTTCTGTATATTTTTTAATTTATGGGAAACTTTAAGAGAAAACCAATATGAAAATTTCATGAAAATAAAATTTCGGTGCCCATAAATAAAGTGTTGTTGTTTTTTTTTTTTAAAGAACAGAGCTGTGTTTATTCATTTACATATTTTCTGTGGTCATTTTTATGTTATGCTGGCAGAGTAGTTATGACAGAGACCATTTGGGCCACAAAACTAAAATGGTTTTATCTGTCCTGTTGCAGATAAGATTTTCTAATGCTTCATTCCTTTAGAGTTAAAAACTCTGGGTCAGTGGAAATCATGTGTTTATGTAATTATGCACCACATAGAGTGGTCAAATGCATTTTTGGCCATGCTCCTTTGTGTTTTTATAATACCACTCATTATTCTATTTGACTTTAATTGTATTCCTGGGTTTATACATTAAAGATTAATGATGTACTTAGCCTAAATCGAGATTCCCAGAAATGTGAAGATATTGCAGAGTAGAAAGTATAGTAGTTAAAAAAAATTCACTTTTTTCCTCTAGAGATGTCCTAAGGATTTTAGGTGTGAGGAATTTAAGTAATTGTAGCATTGCTCTCCCAAAGGATGCATAATACTTCCATAATTCTTGTCATAAAGCTGACAGCATACCTATGCTTTGCTACTTAGACAAATATGGTGATCTGATGTGCAATATCATTTATATTGCCCTTCAAAAGAGTTGTGTTTAACTGAGCAGTGAGCATATGTAGTATTTGCATTACTCTCAGCTGACAAATACCTCAGAACTTTATGCCTCATGAGATGTTAGTGACTGTCAAAGAGAACTAAGCATGTCGCCAAATCAAGGTATTATTTGGTGATAGACATAAAATATCAAAATACTCTCAGAACAGATGTAGCTACTAAGTAGTCAACACTTGCAATTGCTAATGTGCTGTTGAATTGTGAGATGACACTCCTTTTGTTAGTAAAGACAGGAGTCAACCTGTTACCCATGAAGAATAAGATAATAATGGTATCAACATCAGCAATAACGCCAGGGATAGAAGAAAAACAGTGCACACATACACATGTATTTAGTGCTTTTTATTTAATCAGAATGATTTTGGGTATTTTTCAGGTTTTAGCTCGTATAACTACTCCTGGCCTATAGTAACCATAGAATGCTAGGTACACTGTAAATCATACCATATAGATGAGAACAACAAAGCCCAGAGAAATTAAGCAATGTGTCTAAGGTCACACAGCTAAGGTATGAAAATTTTTGATTAATTAATAAAAGGCAAGTAGGCTAAAGCTTCTGCTCTTAAATAAAATTTGTTGCTGCCTAATCAATTACATTTTATGTATAATTTAAGTTAAATTTATGTGAGAAATTTTACTAAATTTTGTTTCAGAAAAAATATTGAGATTCTGAAGTTTTGGTACAAGCTGATATATACAGATATATTTCCCATCTAATTAAAAATGAATTGTATTAATATTTTAGGGGCTATTAATGGAGAATGAGACTACTTCATGGCATGTAGACTGTTGTATTCATTTTGTTTTCATCTCCAGACCCTTGTACAGTATGTACAACAGTAGATATTTGGTGCTCAATAAATTTGCTAAATGAATACACTAATTTTTGGAAAGTGCTATCTGGTTTCCAAAGGTTTTGTTATATGAACAAAGGCTCATGATGACTAAGAGATATGAAGTTTCCCCCTTTTTCTTCTCATGAGAATTATCCCTAATATGCATGGGCAGTAGAAAACTGATAAGTTTTCAATAGCTCTAATAGCCACCTTGAGACTTAGAATAGTGTTCCTTAGGGCATTCTTGATCTCTGAGTAATTATTTTTTTCTACTTCTCTTCCATCATACATCAGCTTTGATCTTCTAGGTAATTATGGATGTTCCTACTTCCTCATAAAATGGGTAAGCATATTTCACAAATTGTGTTAAGTGGGTCCAATACGTATTGAGATTGACAGATTTCAACTTGCAGAGAATCATTATAGACTTATTCACTTGTTTAACAATTCTTTTTGTTGGAGAATTTGGTTGGATAGGCTACTAGAAAATTCAGCTGGTTTTCATTTGTGAGCGCAATCTGAAATTTGTCTCAGTATAATGACATCTGTATTCTACTGGTATGAAGTAGTTTTGGGAATTGACATGCCTGCTTGCCTTCCACATTTTAAAACCTGTATCATGGGCCGGTGATTTTAGCTCAGTGGTTCCACTGCCTGCCTTGCAAGCATAAGGACCCGAGTTCAATCCCCAGTACCAAAAAGACAAAAAATAAATAAAATAGCTTT